TTGAAATGGATTTAAACATACAACTCACGGACTTGCATACTTACATTTATGACAATTGAAATGTATTGAATATAAAATTGAAACTAGGGTGAATATTGGATTGGATATATTACCAATATTTTATGATTATAGTATTGAGTAACTGCGAACCGTTATTTTAATTAAAACGTGATTAAAAATAATCAACAATGATATAAATCGTAAACTGCGTGTTTCATAATCACATAAAAATGGTGTTTTATTTGTTTTTAGTATGAAGTTTTTACAGTATATTTAATTGTTTATTATTAAGTGTATCATAACTGATTATATTAATGTTACAAAAATCACAATGTTTTGATAATAATTGAAAAGAGAAAGATATAATAATAAGTATAAAAATGAAAAACAGTGCACATTTGGCTATAACTGTATGCATGTGAAAAATCAATATATTTCATAATCTGTCCATGAAGTAGATTGGTGACAAATTGATCGAACAGCACCTCCAAGGTACAATGTAAAATCTGCAATGGAAAGGCTTGAGTTCAACCGTCTCTGGAAAGCGACACAGTTGCGATATATTTCCATATATTGTGTGGCTTCTTGTACTGAGAAAGGAACGGAATGCTGCCGTAAACGTTGCTGCAAAGCCGTTTCACTCATCAAGTGGCAGAAGCAACTACATAGCATACCCCCAAGTACGAATGCTTTTTCAAGCTCATTGTATCCTGATTTGGCAGTCATTTCAACCAAAAACTCTTGCATGCCATCAAGAACATCGTGTTGCTCGGAATACTTTTCCACACAATAATGGTGAAGTGTTACTGCACAATCTTCATATTTGGATTCGCCTTCACCAATAGAACTTTTGATTTTTTCTAAATCTGCAAGATCTCTTGGTAAACCAAAACGTAACGAATGGGCACCGTCTCGTCGCGCCTCAATCACTTCTTCTGACCAGAATTGTTCATGATATCCATGGAACAGGTGTGGAATATCTGTTCCTACTACCCATGTTTTATTAAAACAATGGTACTGAATGGATGCGACTGGTTCCGAATTGGCTTGTGTTGATGTAACTGAAAAAGAAAACGAGTAATCAAACAGAAAAAAGTTAATAAGAACACTTGGTGTTAGGTTTCAGAAAAAAAGCCAAAAACTAAAAAGAAAACCATTGAACTTACCTTCTTCAGCGTTGCCTGTGTCTGTCATGAGATGCCGACGATGAGAGTTGTTGCACATCCAATTTGATTTTTTTGAGAGGAGGCATTGAGAGTAATATGTCATCTCCCTTCCTCCGCGATGATGCTGTAGATGCTTCCAATACCTTGATGGAGTATAAAGGTGGAAGTGGCGGTAATGCTGTAAAATGGATTGTAGAAAACAAATAAACAAATATTAGGCAACCATTATCTGAACATATGCATATTAATTTTATACTACTAACCTGAATTTGTATTGTTTTGGGATTTTATGTTTGACATTTTGTCCATTCTTCCAAATCCAATAATCTAACAGTGGAAGTAGCAGTAGTAGTAGTTCCAGCAGCGTCAGCTATAGTGACAGTGGAGAGTAGAGTGATTCCATTGAAATTCCAATGGAAAATGTAGAACATGAGCAGAGTGAAGCACAACAAGCTGAGCACACCGTCAATCGTACGGTAAAAGGTGGAGAAGAAGACCGACAAGGACACTCTTTTGGAAGAGAGGAACCTAATCCAAGTCATGTCGAGCATCCTGAAGGATTTTTGATTATCTGTATCTTCTGAACCAAAAGTTTCTGCATAGATTCCATCCATGTGTATGACCTATATACTAAGGGCTATACACTGACATAAATCTAGCAAATATATAAATTACAAACATCACAAATCAAATTTCAAATAGCAAAAAACACAAACATCCTATACAAAACAAATATATATGTAATAGTCATTACCTTAGTCAACACCACATAAATTTAAATATTACTACCTACAGTACTGCCAGTACCGCTGAACAAGCCCAACCAAATCTACCCACATCTCAATATGTAAACAAATACCTACAGTACTATGAAAAGCAAAAGTTAAATCCTGTCTAAATCAAAGATGGAAACCATGTAACCAAATCTTATACCAAATAAACAGTACTGACAGTACTTGGGTAATTGGGTGCCAGTACTGACAGTGCCCGTCGTTAGAAGTACTTAACGTACTTACCCCGTTGATGGCGGTACTGCCCGTGCTGCACCCTCTTTCAGTACTGTCAGTACATTTCAAAAAACCTAACATTCGGAGGAATTTGTCAATTTTAACGGCTATCAGTATAAAACCAGCAGCGAAATTGAAAAAATTCTATCTATTGTAAGAATTTCTCTGTTTAAAACCTCAAAACCAGCGTGAAGGTGAATGTTTTCTTGGAGCGTATGAATATTTACAATGAAAGTTGATGAAGATGAGTATTTACAATAAAAATGATTCATTTTTTGTTTTTTAAGATTTTTAGATTTTTTTAAATTTTTTGTTTTTTGATGAAGATGAATATTTACAATGATAACAATTCAATTTTTTTGTATTTTTCAAAATTTTATGATTTTTGATGAAGATGAATATATGAGAATCGATAATGAAAAATGTGAATATTTACACTAATGGTTCTTGTTCAGTTGGTGCCGATTCTTCAGTGGGTTTTTTTGGTTTAACTACCAAATCTTCTTTCTAGAAGTTCATTTTCTTCAGATGCTCTTTTAAAAATGTGTGTTTTTATTCGTGTGTTTACATTTTGGGTAATCGTCGCACAATTGTGCCCAACCAATCAAAAACCAGATTTGGCCGCGAGAAAGATCAATTGCGTTTTTTGCGTCACGTCTACCAACGATGCCTCCGCAAAGGTGTGCAAGCTTTTCTAGCGTTTTTCCAAGTGGATAATAGTAGCAACAGGCATCGCTAATATCATCCTGTCGTTCACGCATTTTCTAAGGCGATTGAAACCGCGGCTTTTGTTCTTGATTCTCGGTATTTTTACTGGTCGAATCCTGTCTCGAATTTCTAAATCTCTAAATTCAAACCAAACCTCTAGTTTTTGTATTTCGACATCTAAATCCCTATCCTAAATAGCCGGCCACGTCCATAGCTTCTTCGGCTTCTGAATCAACAGCTTCTTCAGCAGCACCGTGACCTTGAGGGTCTTCAGCTTCTGCGGTTCCCTCACGCACAGGTACGTACAGGTACAAAACCGGCACAACAACGTCATTATAATTTGGGATTATGCTCCTACATAAAGCATTAATATTGTTAGTGTGTGTCTCTCTTCGTTGGAAAGGGCGCTCACCAATGATATCCGCATCCACAACGTGATTAATTTTTCAAAACTTTGGCTAATCTTAACTTAACCCCCCTATCCACACTAATCCAGATCTTCAACCAATTTTTTCTGTAGATAGTACTCATTGAGTACTACCCACGTGTAAAAAAATTTTATTATTTTTTTAATTATATTTTTTTAATTTATTTTCTTCATCTTTTTGTCCATAATTAATTTTTAAAATTTTTTTGTAAACTCGGTCTAATAACTGCTTTTGAGCAAAGGAGTGGGAGACAAGGAATTTTGAACTTTGTCAAACATAGTCAGCTATAAAAGCCAACTCGCGTGCTTTGTCAAAGTTCTTCACGGCAGTTTTCTTCTGCTTCCGCGCATCCTCCGTGCCCTTTTCAATCTCCTCTTTAGTTTTTGTTTGAGGAGTGGTGACCTCGGCAAATTTATCGATGCCACCCTTAAAGTTTCTGCACTTCACGTTTTTTAGCTTTCTGGCCTCTGCAAGTGCCTAAGCAAACTTCGGGTCTGCCAATTCCTTGGCTTTGTGCTCAGTAGCTTTGGCTTTTGTTCGCGCCGCTGCCTTTGCTTAAATAGACTTTTTCCACGCTTTTGGAGCCATTGATAATTGAAAATGAATTTTTTGATTGAGTTTAACGCAAACACAGTAAAACCACATACAAAATACAAACACATACAACACAATTTATTCTTAACTTTGATCGCAATCACCTGGTAATTTAGAATAGTTTATGTCGGTTAAATTAGCGCTGATTGATTTAAAAACCCAAATAAACGGTTCAAAACTTTTCGTTGGCCCTCCGTTTTCATTGATTCAGTTATTTTTTAGACTTTATTGTTAACGAAATATATCGTATAGATTACAAAGATCAATTTGAGAGATTTTTTATTGAAATCGGGTGAGAAATAAAAAAAGTTACATCAGATCGAATTTAACATGGGGTCTATGAACTGTCTGTTTTAGACCTGAAAGTAACAAAAATAGACGCAAATTTATCATTCTAGTCTCAATTTCTTATAAACAATTAGTTGAACTACAAGTTGTCAAGTTTTCATGGTACTGACCCTAATAGTCTAAGATTAACAGGCCAAGACTCGTCATTTTCCATAGACCCCCATGTTAAATTCGATCTGATATAACTTTTTTATTTCTCACCCGATTTCAATAAAAATCAAAACGAAATTTTCACAGAATTTTTTTTGCACTGATAAACATTCTACAAAACAATTTGACATTCATAATATCGAATGTTTGTCTTATTATAAAACTTTTCACTTCCCCATAGGCTCACATGCAAAATTTCACTTTTGCCACTTAATTTTTCGGAAGTACGAATCTGCGCAACTTTTCATCTATTTTTTTGAACTCATCATTATCGAAAGTATGATATGACCAACATACCGATCCGCCGATGCCCCTTAATCGGAAGTATATCCTTATTCTTGAATATTAAATCTTTTATCCCATATTCTACTTTTCTTTCAGACCGTTCGCATTTATAAATTAATCGGCATTTTTTTAAATTAAAATGAAGAGGGAATGAATGCCGAAAGCATTTGCAATTATTACAAGGCAGTTAATTACTCCAATTTTGTCTGCTTCTCATTAATCTTTAATAAAGTATTAATAATTTACAAATTGCATGAAACCCAATGGTTGAAGATGCTCAGGAGTTTATGACGAGAAAAAAGCTTCTCTAGAAATCTTATACAACTATTAATTTTAATATTTCTTGAGGTTTTTGTTTGAATTAAAAAAACAGTAATCAAAGCGATTTGAATTAAAGGATGCAGAAGGTACAATAAATTATATAATTAAGAAAAACATATTAGTGAGACTAGATGTTTCCTTGCACAGAAGATATTTTCAATCAAAGATCATCTTAAGATCAACATGAGAATGTATGTTGGTTTTCTTAATCCTTTCATCTTTTATAACAATTAGTCCAATGTTGGTCTGGAAATGATTCGATTTCTTGAATCACGATTCAGTAAAATATTATAACTTCATCGTGGTATTGAAACTAGGATCCATAACAGCAACAATTAGAAATGCTTAGAAATGAAGAATCACAGCAATTTAAAAAATTAAGAGAGACTTGATCCCAAGACAAATAAATATAAATAATCTAACCATTAAAATAAATATTCAATGAGTTATAATCCATGAAGCATTGAAACTCATTTCAAGAGTATAATCGATTGGTACATTTGTGAGTCGTTTCAACTCAACCAACTTTTCTGAAGATGTGGCAAAGTTAGAAGAATATTGGATCAAATCTTCAGTCCAAGTGAATGTTTGGTGTTTCATCGCTAAATTTATCGCATGATTGGATCAATAAATTGAGAAACTTGATAGCAAAGAACTGCTCAAATAAAGTTCAAAAACGCCCGAATTAAAGGTAAATAATTATGTCTGATATTAGAAATCAACAATCGCTTCTTGAATTAAATCTTCTAGCCGATGAAATGCGTAAAAATTTGTAGATGTTATGAAAGCATTGGTAGGCAATTAGAAAACAAAGATCCATTAATCGGTAATCTAATGTGTTACGCTACTCTTGATGTCTTAATTTGATGAGCAGAAAAGTAGTCACGGTCATTGGGTAAGCATCAATAGGCACATTAAGTCAAAAATAACTTTGTTGATCAACTGATTTAATCTTATTCACTTGTTCCTATTGCTGATACTGACTTTAAGTCATTTTCTTTATCACAATTAAATATCACTGGACACCGAGACCAATCTTGTTTCTGTTTGCACTGCCAATAATCACCGTTATAAACATGGACTGGATTATTCGTAATCGGGTCGATTTGAAGCTTGAACCAAGATGGTGCATAAGAAACTTCAGCTTCTGGATTAGTAGCAGCTTCTTCCTCTCTCTTTCTCCGGGTCGATCTTTGTTTTTCTTCCAGTAATCCTTTCACTTGATTAGCCTCATCCCATTTACCTTCTTCCATTAATCGTTGATCTGGTCTGAGTCGACTATCGGTTGGAGCTACTCCTTCTTCTGGTTCATTCAATTGAATAGCTAAAGCAGTTAAATTATACATTCTTTCATATTCAGACCTGAAAATAAAGGAAAAGAGAATTAAATCTTGTTGATATCTTTCAGTGGATGACAACTCACGGAGGATAAATCCTTTGCCAGACCACTTTGGGTGATGTTGTTTCATAGATTGACTTTCCCTTTTGAGATCGTCGTTTATGATGTACTTGGGCTGCTTCGATTCGATTGTCCCATGTCCCTTGTATAACCCAACGTGGTTCACCTTGAGCGTCAATAATACTACCAGTTACCTGTGAAAAAGAAATATCTATCAATAATTTCTATCCAATAGAAAGATTCAATTTGTTACCTTTCTAGGAATATCTCGTGAAAAGTAACTATAAGGTATGAATTTCAAGAGGCATCTATCACCAGTTGTGTGATTAGTAATCACCATATCTCCATGATTATCCACCCAAAGTTTACCAACGATAATGTTGTGAATGGTTGTAGTGACTTTGTGCCAAGTATAATGATAACCATGCTCTGGAAACTCGAGGTGACTTATGTCCACTGGATTCACTTGTAAATACTTTCCTCGAAATTTACTTGATAAACCAAATTCACTCCAGCATTTCCAACCTTTACCTTCACAATGAAGTGCTAACATAGGGGGGTGGTGGCTCACCTGTTGATGATAACAAAACACAATTAGCATTCACAATTATCCATTCATTTGCTTATTCAATTCTTACCTGCTCGGTTATACTCTTCCATCCCAAATCAGATGTTCTATCACATTCATAAGTTTCTCCTAGAAGAGGATTAAATGGTTTGTTCAGTCTGATACCTGTACATGCATAACTGGAGACACAAAATGCAGCGACATAAACTAATTGATCACAACTATCGCTGATTGTTGCTGCTTTATGGAGTAAATGAGCATAGTCAAAGTCTTCGGTTAATCGTTGTAACATTGACAGAGGCTCATTAAAGTTAACAGGCATAGGAATTTTCGTCAACTCTTTACCAATACAGTTCTTCATGAAAGACCATAAATTTAAACTTTGATTCGGTCTTTCAGGTATCTTTGTACGACGTTTAGGATCTAATGTTGGTGGTTTTAAGTCTTCATCAAAGCCAAATTCCTTCACTACGACACTACTTGGTGTGCCTGGAACACTTGTTGATTTAACTGAATCATTATCAGCTAGAGTTTTCTCTATGCTTGTTGAAGCATCCACATTAGATTCTTCATTCGTTATCAAACTTTTCTGTTTATTCTTTCTCACTCTCACCCCAATGGCTGAAGCAGAAGTTGGAGAGTCCTCTGTTTCTTCGTCACTGAGTAAATCATCTCCACCAGACGAATCATCATGATAATTAGAAACTGTTTCACAATTGTTTTCACTATAATCCTGGCTACTCGCTCGCAGAGCTTTACCAGGCACAGGAACCTCGAAATCAGTTACAGCATCTTCGAAAAATTCATCTTCATCTGAGCTAACACCACCAGTGTTGTTCTTATTAGCATACTCTTTTTGGACTCTTTCTTCGAGTTGTGAATACTGTTTGGCCAATTGAGCACAAACAACCTCCAAACTGGTACGAGCTTCCCTTTCATGGTTTAAAAGTTTTTCCATTTTCTTGGTTGCTGTTCTCGCAAGTGTCACAAAGTCGTCACAATGTTTCAACATTGGAATGGTAGTTACACGGAAAACTGTTGATTTCTCATTTATACTTTTGCAGTGTTTAATAGCCTCAGCGGGATTTTCAATAGACTCCAAGGCAACAAGAGACTTGTGTAAGGCGCTTCCATGTTTAATGATGAGCTCGTTGAAATTTGTTAAATCATTGAGTTTAGCAGTCAAAGGTTCTAAAAATTGAAGAGAGCGATCAGTTTTTTTAGAATTGATAATGTGTTTCTGATAATATTCATCTTCTGATTCTTGAAGACGATTAGCCAGCATTTTAGAACATTGTAAAGCTGTCATCCAATTTTGCCTTTGTTGTTCATTCTTAGCCTTTAAGTGGAAAACTTGATCACCATTTTGAACCACAAAACGTATATTATCTTGTTTATAAATGATTGCGGATGCCAACTTGATTGATCCTCGGCAATTCTGAGATACCTCAGCTTCAGAGCTTGATTTTGAGGTAAACCCAAAAAGGAAATGCACAAAAAAGAAAAGATGAATAACAATAACAAGGAAAATGAGAATTGAAAGAAAATGAATTTACCTGTAATATGACAAAAGCCCTTTTGATAAGACAAACCATCTCTTTTGATACCCTCTCATGTAATTGGCCCATTTACACAAAGTTCCTTTCATCTCAGTGTCAGGAGCTTGAGACACAGAGTAGCTCGTAGAAGCCATTGATCGGGGCACACGAAATTAATTACCAATGACAGTTAATCGCCAACAGATCAAAAGAGACCACAATTAAACAACACAAACAGAATCAATTTAATCTTATCCAAAGAGCAGAGAAAATCCTTTAGGGTGTCAACAGCCAATGGCAGAAGAAGCTCAGTTCATGTGGCGCCCAATTCGATATGAATCACAGCCTTTCGGAAGTGTTCGGTTGACCAATATTCCTGAATTGTTCCGTGTAACCAAAGTGACCTTCGCCTCAACTGATTCTTTAGTTGTAGTAAACATTTATTGATGGAAAATGAAAGACAAAACAAATTGGAAGATTAATGAACCGCTCTAAGGATAAGCTATTTCCACTACTTTTCTCTTGCAGGTGATCAGTTGATTCCCTATACTCAAGGCAACAAATGGAGTTGAGGCTCATGTGTCCTATTGCAAATTGAATTGACTTAATTGTCTAATCATTTAAATTCTTATTGTTTTTCTCAATCTCTGTTTATTGTGATCGGTTGATTTCCATTAGGATACAAAATACAAAAACTTTAGGTAATTGGATTTATAATTTCTTTTCAACCTTTTCTCTTGTTAATTAAACTTTGTATTGTTTTCTGGTTTACAGATTTTTCTATTGTTTTGATTAACAAGTCCCAATGACAATTGAGGTATGGACCGAACCAACGAATACAAATTGACTCTCAAATGGATGGAGAGTAACAAGATCAATTCAAGGAAAGGCTTCCCCGATAATCCAAAACCTTTTCACTATAATGATTTCATGAAATCAACTCGTGCAATATTTTCGGAACTTGCAATGACTTGTAGTAAATTGGAAAAGCTGAATGAGTTGGCTCGGAAGAAGACGATCTTTGACTCTGATGAGTCGAGTGCTCAACTTAGTGAACTAGTTTATATTATCAAGAAAGATGTAAATTCGCTTAATCAACAGATTGAAGAATTGAGACAAAATCAGCTTGCAAAGGTGAAAGATGGTAAACGTCAGAATGTCGAATCTTATTCGAAAAATGTTGTACTCAACCTCCAAGAACAATTAGCAAGTGTAAGTAGCGATTTCAAGACAACACTAGAACTCAGATCTCAGAATATGCAACAACAAAAGGCGAGAAGAGAGCAATTCACTGGGTCCACTCCATCGACATCTAATCAATTGCAGCAACGAAAGACAACTTCAACTATAATTGACTTTGGAGATGAACCATTAACTCTTAGTAAATCAAATCATTCGCAACAACAACAACAACAATCACAGGCACAGTTGCTCATCTATGAGGACAATACATCACAATATTTGGAGGAACGAGCGTCCACCATGCAAACAATTGAATCAACGATAGTTGAACTCGGAGGAATATTCAATCAATTGGCTACAATGGTCCAGCAACAAGATGAAATGATTAGCAGAATCGATGCTAACATTGCAGATACTAATTTGAACGTTGAAGCTGCTCACCAATCTTTATTGAGATATTTCCAATCAGTCACCAATAATAGATGGTTAATGTTCAAAGTTTTCGGTGTTCTCTTCATCTTTTTCTTATTATTTGTCATGTTGACATGACAAATTCATCTCTGTGATTTTAAAAATTCCATTATGAAATTGTAACCTGTTTATTAACAGTTTATTTTAAAATATTATATCAATGTTAACCACTACAAAAATTAATTTCTTCATTATCCAATTGATACTTTTGAAATCATCAGGATGTCTCAGTATCAGATTTTAATTCAGTAAATTTTCACAATATCTTTAAGCTTGTAAGCAAACAAATGATGAATTGAAATGAAATGAAAGAAACGCTCAAAATTCTACTATTAGAGAAAATAATCAACTTGCAATTCATTCTAATCAAGATGTTGATTGGGTTAATCTGATCGACTTTCGGCTTGACTATTTTTCGGCTCACAATCGATAGAGAAAATAATTTTAGAATCTTATCCATTCTGGTAACTAGGAGATGATTTCATCAACTGGTTGCTGGTTAATAATTGAATAAATCAAATGAATCACCTTGGTCTCAATGATAATAATTAAACTATTATTTTTTAATATTAATTGTATTCATAATGATAAGTATTAAATTAGACTTTTGTATTTGGATTCATTAACTTGAGTCTATTAAAAAGTTAATACAAAATGAATTCAATGAAATTCAATGTCTTAGCAGAAAATAGTGTAAATTGAGGCAGCGAATTCATGAAAACGTATACTAGTTATTTAGTTAATCAGCTCAACAAATTGACATGAGCTCATTGATATTTAGATTCCTATTTTGATTCCATTCTAATATTTATATCGACCTTGCCTTTCATCTTTTCCATCATTCAACATATAAGCTGGAAAATAACCGGTTCCTGAAGGGTCTTTGAGTTTAGGATTTAAAATGGTGTTTTTAGAAGTGCCTAAAGATGTGTACCTAATGATTGGGAGGAAAGAAATGAGAGAGAGAGAGAGAGAGAAAACAATCAATTGATCAACAGTTTGACAGACTTTGATTTCGTTGGGTTGAGACGATGCAAGTTCTTACCCTTTGTCATAAAGTGAACAATAAGGTACTTCAAGTGAACGGAGGAAGCTCCAAATTTGATGATAAGACCAATTGAGTAGAGGATTAACTCTAATGAATTCAGGCCAATCGGAATCGGTGGGTTCAAAAAATGAAATCGAATTGACTAGATCAGTTTTTCTTGTTCCCATGAAGATGTGGCTTACAGAAGATTCCGCTTTGAAGTTTTTCAAAGCTTCCTTGAAATCGGGTCCATCCAATGTTACCAAACCAAGATTATATCTTTCAACAGAGCTTTTAATAAACTCCTCAAGCTCAGGAAATGTATCAGGCATCAAAATCAACAAGGTCATCAATTTGACATCATCAGTCTGATTAAAAGCTGCTCTTTGTTTGACTTTGTCCATCATAAGTAAATAAACCAAATGAAGTAAAACCGTACAGTCTTTACCACCATTGAAACTGACACAAAACCTTTTCTTGTCACAATCAACATTTTCAAGGCATTTGTTAATCACCGAAATGGATTCGAGTACATTCTCATTGCCCTCCAACAAAGCAAATTGATTCAATTGCGATGTCCACAAGTCAACAAGCTGTTGCTTCAACATTTTCCAAAAGAGCAGAGCAAAAGATGAAAGGGAAAGATGAAAGCAAACGATCACCAAAAGACACTTTAAATAACCTTAACGAAAACAGAAGGGAAAAGACAATGAGAACTGATAAGATTAATTGATTGTCTGGTGATCAGCGGTAATCATCTTACCAGAAAAGAAGAAGACAATCTGGTCCACAAGGCGCCATGGGTCGGCTCCTGGGCCTTGAGTTGCCTCTGTACCACCAGATCGTCGAGATGAAAGGGCCAATCAGTTGATCCAATTGATTGTCGAAGGTCAAAGCAAAGCGACAAAAAGAGTTGATTGAAACGATCCTCAGATGGCGACACTTGCCTTCCATCAAAAGAGGTGGTCCATTTGTGGATTGTGGTGATTCCTATAGTTTAGAGACTTGAGACTCGTCGTGTTGATTTTGTCCTTTAGATTTTCTTGTTTAATTGTTTTTTTATTTGTAATCTTATTTTTTCTTGTTCTCTTGATATTTATTATTTCCTTTGATTCTTACAGGAGTTTCATGTCGTCTAGTAGTAACATACATAATTTGAAAACTTTTGGTAAGTAGATTGAGTCATTTGTCTGAACCTTCTCACTGCTCTTTGAAACCCTTTTCTCACTTGTGATACCTTGTCTTTCCTACTTGCAGATCCCTTCGCGGATGCTATCAAAGCTGATGATACTGTTCATGACGGTTTAATTCACATTCGTATTCAGCAAAGGAATGGTCGTAAGACACTTACCACTGTCCAGGGGATAGCTGATAATTATGATAAGAAAAAGATTGTCAAGGCTTGCAAGAAGGTAAGAACATGATGATGATTTTCCAACACTTGACTATCTTCTGTTGCCGCGTCCCATCCATTTATTCATGATAACCTGTTTCTCTCGTCTTGTCTTCCTGTTTCACCTATCAACTCTTCTATAACATTTTCTCTTTCCCAATAGGAATTTGCCTGTAACGGAACGGTAGTTGAACACCCTGAATATGGAGAAGTAATTCAACTTCAAGGTGATCAGCGAAACAATATTTGTCAATTTTTAACTAAATATGGAATCGCTAGACCGGAGCAACTTAAAGTCCATGGTTTTTAAGATGCCATCTTATTTTGGTATGGTTTAAGAGCAATTCGTTCACCTGAATAAATAAAGACGTTTCATTCAATTGTTAAAACGTGTTGAAATATATCCACCCTTGATAAACGCTTAACCATGGCCAAATTCAAAATAAAGTTACAATTATCCGTTGAAACATTTTGCTATTTTTATTACTTTGCACCAGTTGAAGTTATGTATTGTGATGATTAACGATGGTTAAATATTCCATTCTTGAAAGTACATTGAATTAAAAATGATGAGATGTTAAAGGTTTAAATTGAGGCCAAAATCGGAACTTTAATTGATTCAAAAAAGGCACAAATATTTTGTGCGTTGCATTGGATTGATCATGTCAAGAGATGGCACTAGAAGTGGATGGAAACTTGAGTTTTGTCTGGTTGAGTTGATTCATTTGCTTCTTATTGTTAATTGTTGAGTAATTAGTTTTCTATTCGCGGATTAATCATGTCGGAAGGAAAACCCTCAAAGAGCGAACTTCTGGCCACTCTGAGTTTGTCGAAAAATATTCCACCCAAAGTGAGTAGCGACCGGACCATTTTCTTTCAATGTTTTGACATTTCTTTTCTTTTGTTCAGTTTGACCAGCGTTCCAATTTTTCTAGATTTCAAATCTCACATAGTCTCGGAGGAGAAGAGTATTATTCTAGAGGGAATCAAAGGGCCTATTACGAGTTAAGGCCACCACCTCCTCCTCCAATATACGCCAACTTGGGTAAAAAAGCTCCTCCGCCACCTCCACCTCCACCTCCACCGCCTCTACTACCACCACCGTCACAACCACCAACGCCTCCACCACCACCACCAGCAAGTATGAATTGTTGTTAGATTGTTGGTTGTCTAGCCCAACTGATTTGAATTATCTTTTCTTGACTTAGGAAAAACTTCGGAACAACCACCATCTTATCAGATGTCAGTCAATATATTGAGAACCACACCCCACGCTCTGCCCATTCCCGTGACAGCTTCCTACACAACTACGGTCCAACAGCAGAGGACTCAGCACTCTTACAGACATCCACAAGCTCCAAACTATGTGAATGAACCGACGCAACTTTCTCGTCCTCCCCCGATTCCATCTGCACCCAAGCCTCACCTGACCTCTTATAACGTGACACCTCCAAGACCGAAGCGAGCAATCGAAGTTGAGAAAAAGTATGAAGCTTTAATGAAACAAATAGAGGATGAATTAGATAAATCCCTTCACTTTGGCCTTTGTCACACCTGTGGAAATAAGATCCAAGGTGCAGATCAAGCCTGTCAAGCGATGGGAAATTTATATCATACATCCTGTTTTGTTTGTTGTTGTTGTGGTCGAGTCTTGAGAGGAAAAGCTTTTTACAATGTTAACGGAAAAGTTTATTGTGAAGAAGATTATCTTTACTCAGGGTTCCAACAAACCGCTGAGAAATGTGCTGTCTGTGGTCATCTGATAATCGAAATGATACTCCAAGCTATGGGAAGATCATACCATCCAGGTTGTTTTCGCTGTTGTACTTGCAACGAGTGTCTCGATGGAGTTCCTTTCACAATTGATATGAACAATAAAATTTATTGCGTTGCCGATTATCATCGAGCTTATGCCCCGAAATGTGCCTCTTGTGGTGGTGCTATTACTCCTCTCGAAGGATCTGATGAAACAGTTCGAGTTGTCTCAATGGACAAAGATTATCATGTTGATTGTTATACTTGTGAAGATTGTGGTATGCAACTGACCGATGAACCTTCCCAAAGATGTTATCCATTGAGTGGTCATCTACTTTGTAGAGATTGTCATCTCAAAAGACTTGGTACTTTTTGAGTATCCAATCAATTCCCACCGTCCATAAAGTGAACTTGTTTCCTTCACGACAAGAATCACCACGATCTCATCATTTCTCACCAACCAAACGCACAAACGAATCAATCATCAATTGGAAAGATGGAGTTTAGGAAATGAAGGAAAATTAAAAAAAGATAATTTTTGTAGTGGTTAACATTGATATAATATTTTAAAATAAACTGTTAATAAACAGGTTACAATTTCATAATGGAATTTTTAAAATCACAGAGATGAATTTGTCATGTCAACATGACAAATAATAAGAAAAAGATGAAGAGAACACCGAAAACTTTGAACATTAACCATCTATTATTGGTGACTGATTGGAAATATCTCAATAAAGATTGGTGAGCAGCTTCAACGTTCAAATTAGTATCTGCAATGTTAGCATCGATTCTGCTAATCATTTCATCTTGTTGCTGGACCATTGTAGCCAATTGATTGAATATTCCTCCGAGTTCAACTATCGTTGATTCAATTGTTTGCATGGTGGACGCTCGTTCCTCCAAATATTGTGATGTATTGTCCTCATAGATGAGCAACTGTGCCTGTGATTGTTGTTGTTGTTGTTGCGAATGATTTG